AATTGTAAAATCACACTTATCAACGCAAGTATACGTTTCGCTCAAGTAATATAGGGTTCTAATGGAGTCCTAGATATCGATCCCACAAGGAGTGGTTTAGAACTGCGAACTAATATTTTAGAAAATCAATACTTTAATCACAACAATGAAGTTTAATTTGCTTATCTGTCACTAATAGGCAATTGAAATAAATAGATAATTTTAATAACTATTAAATAACTAATGATACTAAGGAGGGTTTAATTGTGATATTCAATATATAAGAAAGCATCCTTCTCCATGTTAAGAAATTATAGTGAATGGGTAAAGTGAATTAGTTCAATTTATATTGTGCCAAATAGGAGCATACATATTATTTACCCTTTGGTCCAAGCATAAAGAACATTGACTAATCCTACACTTGTTTACTGAATCTGCGGCTAGGCTGGGAGGATACCAGCTCTCACTTTGCACCCAACTTCCAAGGGCTTTGACCTCCCTGAATCTTGGATGTAATCTTCAATTTAGTTGTAAAACTCAACATATTTTAACAAATAAATTGGCCAGATTGAAAGTAAATTAAGATTGAAGTGAAAAGATCATCACAATTTCTTAAACACTTTTGTGGCTTCACCAATTCAAATTACCATTTCACAAATCTCAAGACAAGGAGAAAGACAGAGAAAACTACTGAGGTCTCATGGGAAAAACACAACTTAACTCGTAATTCATATGTAAAATCAAAGTCATACAAATTACATTAAGTAAATAACATAAGTCTAATTTCTCCCCAAGAACACTCATCGAAGTTCCTATATGTCTAATTTCTCCCCAAGAACACTCATCAAAGTTCCTCTGAATCTCTTCCTTTCTTTACAACACACAGAATTCCTCTTCGAAGTAGCAATGATGAAGAAATCTCTCACTTTCCCTCCACTCTTACAATCTTCTGAAGAATTCTTCACAATTGTTACGCTCTATTGGAAATTCTATACACTAATGGAACCTCTCTAACCTCTAAGGCCTCTATACTTAGACTCTTCTTAATTTTTGGCCAAAATCTTCTTTTAAAGTTGTGGATGAGCTTTCCTAAGAGTTGCCTAAACATTGCTTCAAAATTGGGCGTTATCCAAAGCTTGAGTAAGCATAACCGTCGATCTCGCCGTCGGCGGCCTCAAG